TTTGAGAACAAAATGAAAAATAAATTTATTTTTCAAGTGATACCTTTTAGATGAGAGGGAGTGTGGTATAATGGATAGATGGGCAGACCTTGGAGTTATGAAGAGGTGAATTCAAGTCCTGCCACTGAAATTATTAGTTGTATCACTGTGGGCAAATTGCTTACAGTACTGTTGGTGCCCCTAGGCTACTCTGTAAGATTATAAATTACAGAAGAATTTCAGGCATGTTCATTAGGTGGAATTTCCACATTGGGATTTTCCTGAAAAGAATGGTAACTGGACAAAAACCAAATCCTTTTATTTAGATACTTAATTTCGTGATCTCAGGATGAAAAGAAATAGCATATTTTAAGAGTCAGTTCTTGTCCTAAGCAGTTCCATAAGAAATGTGGCTCTAAAACTCAGGCTAATTATAAAGTAATCTAGTATCAGCTGTTTACTCCTCCCTTTCAATGAAAGAAATGGTTACCACTTTTCTGGATTTGGCTTCTTGGATTTAGTATTTGCTCTACTACACAATCCTGCAAGAATAATAGTCAAATTCAGCCATCTTTCTTGTTTCCAGTTCATTTATATTCCCCTCTTAGCCTCTGCAAGAAGTAAATTTTATTATCTGAACATTCTTCTGGTGAGTCTCAGTAATGGGGCGTGTCACATGTTGCATTCAAATGCAGTTAAAGGGAGGAAGAAACTCCACTGCAGTGATTTGCTTCTAACTTTGAACTCTGGTCTTTTCGTCTTTTTTTCCAACAGTGCTAGCAACGGATGAAGCGTTCTGAGTATCAGCACCAGCGGCCAAGGGCTTATACCTCCACCTCTAGGAAGCCTTCTGCACAGAAGGCCACTGAGGAGACCCATTGTCACCTCTGCTTGGACTCCTATACCCTAGAGATACAGCTGGAGATGCTAGAATGCTTCGGTAGTGGCTGTCTCTTTTCTGAGTGCAAGAGGAAGGAGCGATTCTTTCAGGTTCTGGTGTCTACTGGGGAATGAGGAGAAGAATGGGGAGGTTAATAGGTCCAACTTTACTTCTCAGCAGACCATGGTAGCTCCTCAGAGACCCTACTCTGAATTCCTTCTGCCTCCTACTCTGTTTTAGTCTTCTTTATAACCCACTACTGCTGCCCCCACCTGAACCCTCATATTTGCCCAGCCCCTACAAAGAGATATAAGATGCAGGAAGAAAATATCCTGGTGGTCGGGAATGTAGTTCCCTTTATTGTAAGGATTTTCCCTGCCCCCAATTTTTTAGGCCTTCCCTATTCAGAATGAATACTAAGTATGGGAATGTGACTTCTGTACTTACGTAGTTTGCAATTTACTTTTTTAGTATGTTATATGTATGTATTTTGTGTATATATATTTAGTATATATCATGTGTGTGCACATGCAGACATGTGCATCTATTAATGTGGCCTATATGATGTTGGATCATCTCAGACTTCTTCAGTTCTCTCTTGTTCTACCTCTATAATATCTCTTTGATGATTCCCCCCTTTCTCTCTATTGCCCCCTACCCCATTTCATTAAGAGCAAACTTTCCTTTGTCCTAAACCTATTTCTAAATTCTTCTCTCTCCCTCCTAGCTCCAACAGAAACCACTGCCATGCTGTCCTTCCTCCCACCCCCAAAGGTAACCCCTGCCACCCCACATGGGAAGGGAGGGGGTGGCAGTGGAGGTGGTGCCCCTGATTCTCTCTCTTCACTGTCACTTTCAGTCATCAAGACACTATTCTCAGCTTCTTCTCATTTGAAGTCTGTCATTTATTTACTTCTATTTTAATCACTCTCACTGTGGGCTATTGGGCAGCTAGGTGGTGCAATGGATAGAGCACCAACTTGGAGTCAAGAAGACCTAAATTCAGACTTGGCCTCAGACACTTGCTAGCTGTGTGACCCTGAGTTTCCCCATCTGTAAAATGGGGATAATAATAGCACCTACCTCAAAGGTTTATTGTGTGGATCAAATGAGATAGTAATTGTAAAGCGCTTAGCAGTGTCTGGCATATAGCGCTATATAAATGTTAGCTATTATTATTACATTATTGCCCAGAGATTCATTTCCTATTACACAGAATGCTTCATCTGGGCATTTTCACTAGCTGTCTGTCATGCCTTACTTGCCTAGTTTCCTTCAAGATCCAGCTGAAGCTCTACCTTATGTAGAAAGTAAGTCCTGGTCCTCCCCACCTGCCTAGTGCCTTACCTTCTCAGATTACCTTGTATCTACTTTGTATGTATCTTGTATGTATGTATATATGTACATATGGAAACAAAGATATGTATATACACATGTGTATGTATGTATATCTGTACATAAATACACATACATGTATACACAATACACACATATTATATATATATACACACATAAACACACACACACATACATATTTCCTCCTCTGTAAACTCCTTGGAAGCTGGGACTCATTTTTGTCTCTCTATTCCCAGCACCTAGCACAGTGCTTGGCACATGGTAGGTGCTATGCATATTGAATGCTTTAAACTATCTGGTTAATCAATCAAAAAAATAATTTATTAAGCTCTTACTATGTGCCAGGTGCTCTTCTAGGAACTGGGGATACAAATACATGAGTGAAACATTGTGCCTCTTTTCCATGATACCATGATTCTGTGTGACTTCAACATGTTCATGGATGACTTGACTTTGACTCCTAAAAATTTCCAGCTTCTCTCAATAGTATCTCCCCTCACCCAATATCAGCTACACGATATTTATTCAACAAATATTGAGATCTTCTTATGTGCCAGGCAGTGGGCCAGTCATAGCCACACCTTCTATATCTTTAAGACAAGGCATGGTTGCACTTCATATATGGATTTCTATCTCCTAGTTCTCTCCAATGTCTGCCTCCTAACCCACAGCCTAATTACATGGTTTCTCCTTGTCTATCATTTTGAAGTCGTTAATGCACTGCTGAGTAATTGTTCTCTTGTTTTCTCACAGAGATTGTATCCCTACACCTTCAATGTAAACTCCAAGCAAGATTTTATCTCATGAAATAATAATGATGAGAGGTAGCATGGTGTAGGCTGTGGAGCATAGATAGAGATAGCTTTGGCATTGGGGAGGCCTCGGTTAAAATTCTCCATCTAGTTCTTATTAGTCACATGATCAGGGGTAAAGCACTTAACCTCTCAGTGCTCCCTCCAGACACTGAATCTAACCCTCTAAGATTTTAAGTCACATAGGAGTTGTTCATCTCTGTTGGTGGAGGGAATTTCCATACTGAGAAACCTCCTGAACTGATGAAATCACAGATTCAGGCCACCTAAAATAACTCACTTAAAAAAATAAAAACCAAGCCTCATTAATGCCTTTTCCCTTTAGTCAGTCATTTCCTTATAGGTATGCTCCCCACCCCACATTGCACTAAATTCTTCTTTGTAACAAAGAGAAATAATAAACCAAACTATCGGACATTTTGTCTGCCCACATATGCAACGTTCTTTACCCATAATATCTGACCTCTGTACAGAGAGAAGAGAAGAGTGAACATCTCATTTTCATAAACTGCTTTCCTTATAGTGATCCTGTGGGCTCTATTACCCTCTCTATTCAGTCTACTTCATTGCACATAATAGGTACTCAATAAAACCACGATAGTGAACAATCATATGGATGACAGCAGGTGATAGTAGGATTTCAGACTGAGGGCTGGAAGGACCTTAGAGGTCAACAAGTCTAATCCCCTTATTTTACAGATGAAGATACTGAAGCCCAGACAGGATAAGCCACTTCCCCAAGGTCCATCAATGAGTCAACATTTATTAATGACCTGCTGTGTGCCAGGCACTGTGCTAATCTCTAAGGTCACATGGATAGCAAGTGGTAGAGCCAGGATTTGAATCTACGTTCTCTGACTCCCAATCAGTGCTTTCCCCTTAGCCTGGGACACAGTGATTAATAAATGTTTTATCTATCTTTATCTACACCACACAGCAACAGAACTAGACTATTTTTTGCCATGTATTGATGCTGATGCATTTAAATAATGAAACGACTTGATTTGAACATAAAAGTGGAATCAAAAGGTTAATTACTCAGACTGAATATTTCCTCCCACGTTATTACTCCAATAAATCGCAAACCATTAAAAAAAACTTACTTTATTTTTTTCCCCCATGACACCAAACTCTGATGCAATAACAGCTTGACAGTACCTCTCCTCCCACCTTTTTCAAGATTTTGGGTAATTAAGGAGGACTTCTTCCAAAACACTCAAGGACTCATTAGAGAACCCAGGAACGGAGCCCGGCCTTTCTAAGGACCCCTCCCACCCTGCTTTATCATTGCTTCAGTCATTAGCTTGGGTTGTGAAGAGCAGTTGCCTTCGTCTGCCAATGTTTTCCCCTTGGGGCGTGTGACTTGTATTTTATCCCACTCAACCACCTCTTCTCCCACCATCCCCGGTAGCAGGTATTCATTCAACAGTTCGGTTCATGTGAGCGGCCAAATACTACACCAGGACTTCTGGGTGCTTAGCCCTTTTACCAACACTCGTATTCGGGGCTCCTCCTCCTTCCACTTCCCCTCCCCTGCTCTTCCCCTCCCCTGCTCTTCCCCTCCCCTGCTCTTCCCCTCCCCTGCTCTTCCCCTCCCCTGCTCTTCCCCTCCCCCGCCCCCCTTTTCCCCTCCTCTCCCGCTCTCCTCCTCCCTGTTTTCTCCTCCCTCCTCCTCTTCTCTCTTCCTCTTCCTCCTCCCTCCTCCCTTCTCCTCCTCTTCCCAGCCCATCCCAGCGCGTCTCATTCAGCCTGAGCGAGGCAGAGAGGTGGCACTTTCTCACTGCCTGCTGGGTGCCTTGGCTGAGCTTTCCCACGGGAATTGAAGCCTCCGCCACCTACTGAGGTTCCGGAGCTACGGATTTGACTAGGAGGGCTGCTCCACCTCTCGCTTGCAGTACCTGGGCTCGCCCCTGGGTAACTGAGGATCTAAAGAGCTGTGATCTCGCTGCTGTTGGACAGAGAGGGAGCGTGCAGGGAGGGAGGGAGGGGAAGGAAGGATAGAGCCAAGAAGAGTCTCGGCAACAGATGGAAAGGACAGCAAGGCACTGCAGGAATCCGCCGGAGAGACCTTTCTTCCTCTTTTGCACTAGTGACTAAGAAAGGGACCCCTCCTTTTCATATTGCAGCAGCCCAGCAGCAAACATGCCTTTTCCACCGATTCAGCCGCAGCAGCAGCAACAGCAGCAGGTCCCCGGGGTTCCGACACCTCCCACTGTCAGTGCCACGGCTCCTCGGGAGCTGCCAAAGAAGCCTGCAACCCAGAGGAAGACCGCTGTGCATGCTCCTCCGGTCCCAGGTTCCATGGCACCAACAGCTGGAGGTGAAAAGAAGAAACGGCCCTCTGAAAAGCCAGAGATGCTCCTCTCAAGCTCCTGGCCATCGGCAACACTGAAGAGACAGCTGGCTAGGAGAACCCCAGGCCCAGCAGCCAGCAGGACTCAGCCACAGCCCCCACTGCGCCCCACTCAGCAATCCCTAGCTCCTGCCTCTGCGACCACCTCCCCCCCAACCCGCCCGCTGCTCCCTGCCACCTGCACTGTGCCTGGGCTGGCCCATTCCTGTGAGAGCCTGGCAGCTGGCGGGTCCACTGTGCCAGGACCAGGGGCTGGCACCAGCAGTGGGGAGGAGGAGGCTGTGAGATTCTCTTTGAGCCTGACCCCAGAGGCAATTTTGGTGATCCAGAGGCGCAACCTGGAGAAGCAGCTACTAGCACGGCAACGCAGACCCTTCCCTTCGCCAGCTGCAGACACCAAACGCCTCTTATCCTCTTGCCCCCGGAGCAAAGCTGGAGCCATGGGTACCACATCAGGCCAACGTAAGGGCATTGCCATTAGCGGCGCTGGTAGCACCCCAGTTGGTGGCTTTGGGAGCACTAGCCGCCGCCCCACACAGTCCCAACCCCAACTTCTTTCTGGTGCCATGCAACCCCTAACCACCACCTCCAGAGGAGGGCACCTGGGAAGTGGAGACTTACGAACCTTGCTGAAGATCTCTCTCCTGAATGAGCATCATAAGTATGATGATGTAGAATATGAGGAGGAAGCTGAGGCAGTGGATGAGGGCCTAGTGAGGAAGTGTACTGAATGGTTAAGGGGTGTGGAGAATGCTGCAGCCACCAGAGACAGGGCTGAGAAGTTGGAGACCCTGCCCCATCTGGGCACCCTCTGAGGCAGTATCAGGAGATAGATGCTCCACCCTACCCTTACTTCCCTGTTTTGAGTAAGTGTGGGATTTGAGGGTTAAAGCCACAGGTATGCCTCACTAGGACTGAAACTTCTATATCTCAGTGTTCTTCCTAATTCTCTGTCCCCAACCAGACTGCTTACTATTCATACACCATGCACACATTTTCCTCAGCCCAAGGTGTCAGCGGTAGCAATACTCTGCCCCCTTATTTCTCCTGACATAGATTTATTCGCTTTCCTTCATCTTTTGAATATCTGCCCTTGGCATTAGCATTCTGCACCAGTCTTCCTGCCCTGTGGAGCCCACTGTTCCTTTTTGCTGTTTCCGGAGTTAAAAATCAGCAGGTTTCCCAAAATGCTTTGAAACCCCACCACAAAGGTTCATTTATCCATCCCACTGCTTCTTGCTTAGCGACCAGAAACTAGAAGGGTTGAAAAGAAACAGTCAACCTCTTCTCTGACTAACCCTTGGAGTTTGGTTTGTGATTCGACTTTATGTTTCGTTGTAGATGAAACAGTCTTGTAGAGCATTTGAAGCCCTGTGCTGAAGCCAGATTTTAAGAGTCTAGTTTCTGGGAGAGATCTGGGAGCAGTGTGCATATGAGAGATACTTAGGTAACTGGAAGCTGGCTCTGAATGACATTTTTATTTCTTCCTCTTCCGAGAAGCCTGTTGCTGGACTTGGGTTAATCGGATAGCTGGTGCTGAATCTCTTTACATCTGATCCATCTAGATTTTGTTTTTCACCAGAAACTGGAAAGATGGGGGTGGGGAGGCATTGGAGATCCTGGAAATTCAAAGGCAAATCCACCTCTGATGAGAACAGGGATATAACCCCCATCCCCACCCTCCACCCCCTGGAAATAATAGACTATGGTAAATGAATGCTTTAACGGATATGTTACTTTGTTGACATACAACAGGTGATTCATCATCGCTTTGTTCTCTCCTCTTAGCTGTCCTTTCTGTATGCTGTGCACACACATGTCTTTCCTGAAACACAGTTACTGGAATTGTTTTCAAGCACTGGACTCAGGAGGGAGGGGGAAGAGGGGTCAGCTTTTGTTAAGACCATAGTCTTTATTTGAAGTGCTCACAAAATATCTTTTGTGCTAGGGGGGAAAGGGTAACCAAATGGGGAAGGAAAAAATGCACTCAGCTGTACCAGGACACAGGACAAAATGTTCTGGTCTGGTGGAGAAATTTATTTGGAGAATAAATTAGGGGTGGGAGGGGAGGAAGCATTGTGTATGTGTTTTTAGTATTTTTAATCACTGTGTAAATATCATAGTGGCTTTGTACATTTGTATATAACATTCAAAAAGAACATTTCTATTTATTATTTGAATAAATGGTTAAATAGCTTTGTGTTTCAATGGCCATACATTCTCACTTCCCAATTGGAGGTTTATGTCTAATATATAGCTATGTATATACATTTTTAGCATTTTAATACACTTCACTTTAAAATAGGCAATAAAGTGTGAGTACTTAGATAAGGCCTGGATAATGTAAGACCAATAGAATGTTTTTCTTCAACATCTGACTCATTTATAAAACTTTAACAATAACAAGTTTCATATCATTTTAAAAATAATGTTGTAAGCCTTCTCTGTGTTTTAAACTAGAACCATATTTTTATTTTTTTGAACTTAAAAAAAAATTACAGTAGGAATCTTTGCTTTGATCTTTCAAGATAAGGGATCAGCTCCAAATAGTATTAGACATAAGACATGAAATATTGAATTAATAGTGAATTAGTGAACAGTGCATCAACCACCTGCTAAGTTATGTAGGTCCATTGCCTGTGAAAATGAGGTTCAGGTCTCTTAAAAGTAAAACCTTTCTCAACTGAACAGTTTCAGGTTATTTTGCAAATACAATGTGAAGTATATCTAGTTTGGGTAAGAGACAAGACACATAAAGTTCCTTTCCTAAAATGCGTGTTTCAATAGCCCTGGGACAAATTCAGCATTCAGATCAAGATTTTTTAACTCCTAAATGCAACTCTAGACAAACAAACAAACATTTTCACAACTATTGTGATTGTGGAGGAAAACTGAGTCTAGGACCTAAGGGCCATGTTAAGAATGAGTTGATCGTGTAGTTTGGGGATGCAAAGCCTCTATGCTGTGGATCAGATCCAGCATCACCTTAATTTTATACAGATAGTTTAGCAGGTGTCAATGAGTAATGTTCCATTTATGCCTTATAGTTGTAAAAATGTAATAGTAAAAAGTGCAAACAGCAATATCCTGACGTGCTTTAAAATGAGATTGATTTTCGGTGAAAGCCTGTGTCTCTTTATCTCTTGTGTCTCTCCATGTTTGTTTCTATATTTTCCTCCACATGTATTTTTGCTTGTCTTGGTGGTTTTTCTGTTTTTTTTTTCTTTCCGTTTTCCCTCTATACATAATTTCCCATTTTCTTCTCTCTCACTCCCTGAACAATTCAAGATATCAAATTAAAATATGTGCATATATTCTGTTTATTGAACAGTAACAACAATATACATCTGTATAGCAAAGCATAGTTACAAAGCCTTTGTTTACATTATCTCATTTATTCTCTACAACAATCTGCTGAGGTAGAAAGTGAAAATTTTACACCATTCCCATTTTACAGTTGTGGAAAATGAGAATCAGGGAGATTAAATTAATTTTATACATGGTTATACAGCTAAAAAGTTGTGGACCTGAGACTCAAGCCTATGTTTTATGCTTTTCAGTCCAATGATTTGTTTTTTCCCATTTTTAGTTTTAGAAGCAGATATTTTGTAGAAAGTTTTATACTGCAGTTCTCTCTTTTATTTTTTTTTTGGTTTGTTTTTGGTGAGGCAATTGGGGTTAAGTGACTTGCCCAAGGTCACACAGCTAGAATGTGTCAAGTGTTTGGTCTGAAGCCAGATTTGAACTCGGGTCCTCCTGACTTCAGGGCCGGTGCTCTATCTACTGCGATACCTAGCTGCCCCTGTAGTTCTCTCTTTTAAAAAAGACAACAGCAAGCTAACTAAATCAGATTACTTTTTACTTAAGTGATCCTTTAGAAATAATGTGGTATAAAGAGAATTTTGGCATTCTGGGATACAGGAGACTTGACTCCTAGTGTTGTAACTGGATACGTAACTTCAGGAGAGTGTCCTCATTGGTAAACTGAGGTTACTTGGACTAAACCAGATGACCTTTTTGTGTCTATTTTTACCCTTTGTGCTTCAGTGGGTCCCAATAGAAAAAAAAAACCCAATAAAGGTCTCTATCACTGATAGAGTCTACTTCTAGACACCCCCAGGCTACTGAGTTGTTTTTAGGTCCCTCCTTCTGAACCATAGGTTCATTTGTAAATAAAATTTTCTAGGTTACCTTCCAAAAAATGTTGAAAACTAGGAGAAAGGCTAAGGTGCTTTGAGTTATTCTGTGATGGAATTTTCTATGTACAAAATGGTAATGTTATTTTACTGGAACTCTTTTCTAGGATGCTGTTGTCGGGAAATGAGAACAGCACCTACAGAAAACCTAACTGTTTTCTGTATTAAAGAAAAAGTATGGTTTAGGGATGAGTATTTGTTGTATTTGGAACCAAGAAGACCCAGGTTTGAATCCTACCTTTGATAATGCCTGACTGTGAGACTATGGATAAAGTGCTTACTATGAAAGCCTAGGATCATACATAGATAAAGAGGAGAGGAACCTCTCATTTTATCCAAGCTCTTCATTTTACAGATGAGGAGACCAAGGCCTGGAGAAGAAACTTGACAAAGGTCAGATGGTAGAGCTGAGATTCGCACCCAAGTCCTTTGATGCCAAATTCAGTGTTATTTCTCCTGCAGCACACTGCTTACTCTGTTTCACCATCTGTAAAATGGATACAACCTCAATTTATCGTGTCTATATCTTGTTTGTACAAGTTGCTTGCATGTTGGCTTTCCCCATTAAGCTATGAGTTCCTGAAAAGAAGGGATAGTTTTTTTTGTTTGTTTGTTTGTTTGTTTGTTTTTTCCACTTTCTTTGTATCCTCAGCACTTAGCACAGTGCCTGGCCTATAGAAGGCACTTAATAAAGGAACTTAGAAGCAGTGAGGTGGTACAGTGGATAGAGTGCCGGCCCCAGAGTCAGGAAAAAACTGAGTTCAAATCCTGCTTCAGACACTTATTAGCAGTGTGATCCTGGGCAAATTGTTTTGCTTCAGTTTCCTCAACTGTAATGTGGAGACAATAATATTGCCTACCTCCCAGGATTGTTCCTCCCAGGATCAATTGAGGAGATGATTGTAAAGCACTTAGCACAGTCCCGGGCACCTAGTAAGCTCTACTATTTGTTCATTGTCATTGTTATTATTACAGTGCCTTGCATTGCAGTGCTTAATAAAGACACTTAGAGATACTGAGGTGGTAAAGTAAGTAGAGCATCGGACTTAAAATCAGGAACATCTGAGTTCAAATCTGACCTTAGACACTTGCTACCTCCGTGATCCTGAGCAAATCACTTACCTAGGTCTGCCTCAGTTTCCTCAACTGTAAAATGGGAATAATAATAATAGCATTAACCTCACAGGGTAGTTGTGAGGGTCAAAATAGTAGATAATAGTTGTAATAAGATAAAAGATAATAGTTGTAGTAAGATAAAAGATAATATTGTGAAACACTTAGCACAATGCCTGGCACATAGTAGGTACTTACATACTTATTCCATTCCCCTTCCCTTAATACACACAGGTTAACAGACTACTGATAGCTACTGATAGTTAGCATTTATATACTGCTTTAAGCATTACAAAGCACTTTACATATATTTTCTCATTTGAGCCTTACAATAACCCTGGGGAATCTGTGCTATTATCCCCATTTTACAGATGAGGAAATTGAGCCTGAGAGAAGTTAAGTGCCTTGTCCAGGGTTACACAGCTAATAAATGAGGCAGGATTCAAACATAGGTCTTCCTGACTCTAAATCTAGCACTCTGTACATTCTATCACTTCTTGTTCAGTTGTTTCAGTGATGTTTGACTCTTTATGACTCCATTCGGGGTTTTCTTCACAAAGATACTAGAGTGGTTTTGTCATTTCCTTCTCCAGCTCATTTTTACAGATGAGGAAACTGAGGCAAACAGGGTCAAGTAACTTGCTCAGGGCCACACGTCTACTAAATGTCTGAGACCGGATTTTAACTCACAAAGATGTATCTTCCTGACCCCAGGCTTGGCGCTCCATTCTCTTCACCACCCAGCTGCCCATTATGCCACCTAACTGGCTACTGGAAGGTGACTGAAATTGAAAAAAATTATATTTGGAGTATCCATCTCAGGTGTTATTATCAGGATCAAATGGGATAATGTAAAGTGTTTTGTAAACCTTAAAATGTGATAGTAAAATCAGCTATTAGTACAATTTAAAAAGGTGACATAGTCATAGTAGATAAACATTTATCACATGCCTACTATGTGTGTATGTATACCATATACATGGGAAGCATGGTTTCACCTGGAGTATAACTGAATCCAAGATATGACAAGGTATATCATAATGGGATCTCTCTTCCCTGTAAAGTCACTCATAGAAAACTAGAGGCACAAAAGCTAGCAAATTGGCTGCTATGCCACTCTTTCCTACCCTCAAAGCCACACTTAACATTGCAGATTCAGTTTCAGCCATGTTTTGTGGTCAGAGCAGTTATAGGATGCTTTTAGTGGCTGACGTTGACTACCTCACTGCCTAACCATGACTCTGTCTCCAAAGAGTCTTTGAATATGATGTTGGCTTTTATTGTAAACAGGGATTATTTCCCCATTAAAATGAACACATATAATATGCTGTCATTTTCATGAGAAGTATATTTCCTATGATTGTTATACATGACTTTGCAACCTCAAAAATTTAAATGCAACTCTCCAGTCTGGCCCTGGGCATTTTGTAGCACAAAATGAAGCCAACAGAAGGACTTTAAAAGACTGAATTTCTTTGGCTGCCATTTCAAAGAAAGGAAGGTTAGTTCCTTTGACCTTTAAGATTTCAAGATGAGCTCAGACTCCCATCTGTTTTCAATGGGCTAAAAGGTACCCTAGCGTATTGTTGGGATTTTTGGTCTTTATTTGTTATTTCATCAGAGTTTAGAACTCCTAGTGTGGAGATATCCTCCACTGGTGCAGATCAACAACTTTAATTTACAGTCTTCTAAAGATGACTCTTTAAGGCATAAACCAGGGAGATCATGGTTAAAAATAAAAGTTTCCCCCCTTTTTTAATGTCATTTAAGAGTGTATTTCACCATTATTTTCTCTCTAAGGCTACCAACCCCCTTCCAAAAAAATTAGCATCTGCATTATTGAATAAACATTGCGGCGGATACTGGAGCAGTAATAGAAGATATGTT